GTTTAAGGTCAGGAGTTCAAGACCAGCCTGAGCAAGAACAAAACTCTTGTCTCCACAAAAAATAGAAAAATTAGCCGGCATGTTGGCGCACACGTGTAGTCCCAGCTTACTTGAAGCAGGAAGGTCACTGGAGCCCAGAGTTTGAGGTTACAGTGAGCTATGATGGTGCCACTGCATTCTAGGTGGGGTGACAGAGCCAGACCCTGTCTCAAAAAAAACAAAACCAGAAGAACCCCCCAAATTGATAAATGTTGCCAAATGGCCTTGTTACCTAAACTTCTTAAATCTTTCTACCTTCCTCCCTCCAGCCGAAAGGATGAAACTCAAATGGTGACTTATAAGCCTTTGTACCTTACTTACTGGTAAGTTGTGCACCTTCCAAGCACAACCTAGGGACCACATCTTCTACTAGCCAGATGTTCTCCTTGGGCCTTTCAGAGAATCGAGGCTCTGTTTCCAATCCTTAGGTCCACAGTGAGCTGTGAGTTTGGGGCTGCATCATCTCTGGTCGGTGTATTTGGATTTGTCACTGTCACTGGTGTTGTCAAATGGCATCTCTTCCTTAAGTGCCTTCAGATTGATTTTCATGGTCCGTAACAACTGAGGATAGAAAGAAACACTCGAGATTCTCACACTGGCTCTGAGCATTGGTGGCGTGCGGACGTGGCAAGCCCAGGAGGGATTAGGGCATGGATCTGCCATAGGAGGCTGTCTCGCACGTGCCGGGGCCCGTTAGATAGGTGACTCCTGAATGTTGTGTCTTGCATGAGGCCTTCCCTGACACCCCATCTTCTCTCCATGTTCTATCATAATTTACCAAGTGTCAAAGGATTTGAACTGTGTGACTTCTGTGCCCTCCCCCTCCCCCAGAACCTAGCACATGCCCGGCAGATGGTCAGCAACTCTGATGTGCTCACTTTGGGCGACAATGTCTCCCCACAGCAGTCTGCACTGAGGCCCTTTTCTGTCTGGCCTCGGGAGGCTACCTATGCACTGCTTCCCTTGTGTCTCCTTCCGTGCCACCCAGCACACAAAACCAGCTCTCTCACTCATTGAGCGCTCACCCTGCCCCAGATATGCTGCTGAGCATAAGTGCAGCCTCTCTTGTCATCCTCACAGTGACCTGGTGATGTGGTTGTGGTTTTTAATGCCCATCTTGTAGCTGAGCAGCCTTGGGCTTGTGCTGGAGCACACGGTCAGTAACTGATCAAGCCCGAACCTATCTGGCACCAAAGCTGAGGCCTGACCAGCTGTCTCGGCCTCTCCCCACCAACCTCAGGAGCCAGCCTTTGCACCTGCGGTTTTCCTGCTGGACACACCCTCCTCCTCTTTGTCTGTAGGGGACATCCCAGAACTCAATGTGTTTATGGAACAGAGAAGGCCCGTGGGGGCTGAGTGACACTAGTGAGACACTGAGCGGGAGAGATGGGTTTGGGGAGGGAGGCTGGGGCCACATCTAGAAGGAGTTTGGATTTTATCCTTAGGGCAGTGGAAGCATGGACGGTATTAAACAGCAGGTGGCAATATCAGACGTTACTCTGAGAAGATCACCTCTGCCTACCTGGGGGGACAGTGGAGCGAAAGGCAGCTATTCTCTCCATATCCTATTCCCTGCGATTCTCGGCGGCTGTTGAAAATAAGAAGGTCAGATGAGACCTGTGAGTTCCCTCAGAGCCTAATAAAAATTCTAAGAGGCTGTGGTTGTGCAGCCTATTGTTATTTTTATGATAATGGGAACTGTTTGTGATCTCACATTCCTCTTCCGAGGCTCTTTCTGAGTCTTGAATTTATTTCTAGTTATACTGAAGTTTGGAAATGGTTATTCAAGGAACAGTAAGCTCAGTCTGGTTTATGCAAGATGAAAGCCATTTATATCGATGGCTGTAGGTAGGGACGTGTAGTATAAAAACTCAGTTTCAGAGGCTAGCTTAGTAACAATGAACATCATGGTTTTAATGGTTGCTGGAAATTCTGATCAAATTTTATCTCCTCAGTTCGATGAGATGTTTTTTTCCATTCCTTAGTGAAATGAAAAGTTTGTCTGATGTGGTCAAGTCCTGCTCTTCCGGCTGCAGAAGAGAACCAGGGTTTTGACAGCTCTTGGTAAACACTAGTTGAAGCTGGGATTTTGCCATGTTTTATGCATTTATGGAAAACTGCTGTAGCACTCTGGCTGCCACTGCAACACAAAGACAAAACACAAAACCCTGCTTTGCTTTGGAAATGACAGTGGCATTTATTTAAAGCTTGCATTTCGTGGGGGCACGTTAGCAGGTATTTAGCAGCAATATTGGCAGCCGTGTATTTCCTGCTTGCTGTGGCGTGAATGGGCGGGGGTTTGTGTGATTTCTGCGTGGAGGATCGGCGTGGGCATTACTAGTGATACTGTATTTGTTTGTTAAAGGCCAGAAGAAGATCAGCTTAAGCTTTTCTGATCCAAAAGGAATAAAGCACCTGGGGAATATTAATTTTAGGTGTGTACAAGGAAAAAAGCTGGTGAAAAGGCACAGCGACTTATGCTCCCTTTCTTAATTGCATAGTTCTGGTCGTGTCTTTTGTGCCATTTTCACTTAGTATTTCACACTGGTTTGAAGGAGGTCAGCACTTCGGGGACAAGGAGGGTCCTGTTTGCACAGGGACTCACAGAGCCAGCTAATGGCAGCATCCCGATGACAGTGAGGCGCCCAGTGACTTCGCGTTGATTGCACAATGG